GTCCAATTTTGAAACGCTTCAAGCACCTTTGCCTAAAGGCTGGACATGCATATACATGACCCTAGGCATTCAAATCGACAATGGCGACCAGCTGGATATGTGAGGGAAGAGCTGCGCTGAAGTTCGCGGCCCCATACACTCACATAGGCGGTGATTCGTGTTCACCGTGTGCTTGAAGCGTTTCAAAATTGGACCGCACAGCAGCTTTCAAAAATCTAGCTTGTAGCTCACCGAACTCGATGATAGAAGGATCGTTTGGAAAATCGCGGACCGCTAGTCTGTAGTGTATCGCAAGGGGTACAACCTCAGCTACTAACATTGTACACAAGCGACCGCTGCGGGCGGTTAATTTACGATGGTAGTTTCGTACTGGAGTTAGACTTTGGAAAACCGAGATATGCAGGCGTTTCCAGGCGTTTCCTGTTTTTTTGAAGAGGAAGTACTGCGATCCCCCCCGCGCCCTTAACAGATGAAGCAACAGTTCGTGTCGCCAGCGATGTTTTTATCTCTGGATAGAAGTATCCTAAACCATATCACTTGCATCCGAGAGAGAGCATGTAGTGGAGGTGGCAGCATCGAAGGTTTGGCCTCGATTTGTAAACTACGGAGGAAAATATGTGAACGGGGGTTGTCCGCTCTCAAGTTGGAGATGTGTGCTTTGGTCGATGACGCACACATGGGACAAGCCGGGCCAAACGTTTTTTTTTCGCGCGCCTTGGTCGTTCTTTTCCGCCGCCGGCGCCCGTGGCTTCGACACAGTAAAGCCAGGGTGCGTTAGAGGCTCTGACGAATGTGCCACGTGGAGAAGTCATAGCGTTATGGACGATACGGTTGACTGACCAGAATTAATCTCGCTGCGCCCGCCAAGATTTGTCAGCCCGGTGATTTGTCAAGCCTCGAATTGACAAATCTTGGGTCAAGATTTGCTCGGAAGTGCAATTTTGGGCCCTCGACAAATCTTGACCAAGATCTGACGGAAGACGGTGTAACCATAAATCGTGAAATAGTCAAATCTTGCCCCAACATCAAGATTCACACCCAGCATACGTGTCCCCACAAAGATGGGCCTCAACATCGCCCTGTTGCGCCGGGTTAGTTTCGGTGCAACCTTGCCAGTGAATCACTCGCTTCGAGCGCAGTCCAGGATGCTGACGAAAGGGACGGCAGTATGAGTGGTTCTTTTAGTTTTTCTGTTTCTAATGATGATCCCACACCAAAGGGCTCCAGCAAATCCATCCATTCCACCGGTGCCCATGAAGTCGCTCTCTAGCTCGATGCCGTTTCGAAAATTTTCGTATTCGAGAATTTGGTGTGAGTGCCACAAATTCGAAGTTACCTAGTAAAAAATACCGACGAAAACGTCTGAATTTTCTGGGTATAGTGCGGAAATCCGGGGAGGATCCAAGAGGATTCCCAACAGTCCACCCAAACGCGGGAAATGTGTCAAGTTTTCAAGCCGTGGCAGTTTGGATAAAGTGAGACGATTGGTCCAACCAATCTGGAGGGGAGCCCTAGAGGACAACAAAATCAGAATAGCTGGGGTTTTGGTGTTGTTTTTTCTTCCTTGTAGATAGGTAGTGCTTCCCCACCACTTGTTCGGCCGTTAGTGTGTTGGGTTCAACCGAGCAACAACGACCTTACACGCACCTAACGTTTTTTGTCACGAGCTCGAATTCTCGTTTCGTGAGGTACTTACTGGAGATGAGTTACCCGGCCAGATTTCTCGTTTCTTGCATGGATTTGTCACATCCAAAATTAATCGCAGAACTGTCGCCAGATGCACAAGACAGCCACCAAACTGTCTTGTTGAGCCCGTCGCCCACAGGCGAGATATCGTTTTTTGGTGCTCGGGGCAACGCAGCAAGACAAAGTTGGTCATTATACAGCACTACGAATTCATTGCTAGTCTGTCCCGGACTCTTATCTGTGGAATAGATGGATTGTTGTGTTGATGTGAGAAAAAACGAAAGCATCGAGCTGTTGACCAACGGGCAGTTCCTCACTCACGCGCTGGGTGATGCCCGATTGTCCCCACGACGGCACTCCAGTAGTCGTTTCGCCTTCTCATTCCGTTTGCTCTGCCCGCACGCCTTGTTGGTGCAACCTTGCATCCCCTCCTTCCCCTCCTCAGGTCAGTCGAACCGTGTCCGGAACAAGAGGCGGTCGTGAAAATGCAGTACGTTGGACACGATAGAACTCCTTGCTTGGTTTCGTCGTCGTAACGGGGTTGGTTTGCTTCACCTCGCCTAACTTGTTGTGTCGGTGACTGGCCGGGTGTGTATATGCACATTCCCGTCGGGATACAAGCGTGGCCCCAGTACAGTAGCCCCTCGCCAGCTTGCTCCGTTATTACACCAAGTAGAAACGCAGCAGCAGTAGCGGGCATGTGAGGGGCATTGTGATGGAGAAGCTGGTTGTGGTGGTAGAATATGGGTAGGGTAATGTTGGCTGTAGTCTATTCTATGAAAAGTGTGATGACAAAACTGTGTCCGTCGGGAGTTGTTTTCTATTAAAATCAGGGCACGAGGAACTGTACTGAGATGATGCTTGGCAGTGTCGATTGAACGGCGCATCAAAGCGTGCATATTACTATTGCGGCTGGGATGACTGTCGTGGTACAGTAGTCATCCCGGTCGCCCCGGAGTCTAGCTGTTATCCCCGCAACCTTCTATTTAGCACCCAGGGTCAGGGGTTCGCATCCCGCCGTAAGCGAGCAATTCTTGCAAACAGTGAGTTGTCTGTCGCTCCCGTTCCTTGTCGTAGAAAAGCGCTACGGTACTTCTTCTCGCGTTGAGAATGGAAGGCCAGCACCGCAGGAGAGGTGAGTCTCAGGGGGAGGCACCGCCCTGTGGCTATGGATGGGCTCCTATCCGGCAGAAATGCTGTGGGCGCTGATTGAGAGTGATGAAACGATATCTATCTACGAACGAGTTGGCAATTAATTACGAAACGTCGAATTCAGTTCTAGACTCGCTTCCGTATTTGGGTCGAAGGTAAAAAATAGTCCATGCGGCCCTGCACCGGCGCATGTTTGTTGGAGAGTATGCGTGCAGCGCAGCATCTCCATGGTCCGGCTGCAGGAAAAATGTTAGGCCCGCGACCCGCGAGGCAAAAAAAACAACTCCGGACCTCGCCGGAGGCAAATGATTCTGAAAGGAAAGGCTTCACAGTAAAAACTTCCCTGCTCCGCGGGCCCCTTCCGGAGAGGGGCGCATCTCGCCTTTGGCTGTGGTTGGGCCAGCGCAGTCTGAACCCCCGCATTATTGCTACCCCTTGAGCCAAAGTCGTCAGTTTTCTGAAATTTTGTGTTTCATATTTATTGTTGGGGCTATCTTGCAGATTCTACTTTCTCTCTTGCTATGTATTCACCAAACATTCATGTAATTCATGTGGTGGTGTTGACCCGGAAGCTTGGTGTGGGAACTGTCGGTGTCTTCTTCATAAGTGATGGTGTCGTGTCGGTTGGGCTATTCGACTACAGAGCTTGATCTGGGTTCTGTGTGTCTGAGCCGTGGGCCGTGTGGGGCTCACGCCTCTTCCTCTCTCGTTCTTACCTGTGATTTCCCCTTCCGAAGGCTCTCTCTCTCCTTCACGGGAGAGGGGAAACGATATTACATGAAGGGAAATAGACAAAAAAAGTGGTAACCACCCCTTTTCTTGGACAAAGGTGGGTACTCGAAAATGTGTTTTGCGGAGAACACTCGTGACCGGGCCCAACCGGGTCTCCCACACTTTCTACAGTTTTCCCAAACGACCCATGGGACTCCCATGGGTCGCCCATGGGCACCCCTTTACGCCCATGGGCAGTCCATGGGTGCCCTATGGGTGCCCCATCGACAACAAAGTGCCGATGGGTGACCCATGGGCATGGGAATGACCATGGGCAGCCAATGAGAGCGCTTGAACCGAACCAGTTTACTCCTAAACAATAGATTATATGCTTTGGAACCGGCACAATAACGGCTATTACCCAACGCTGACCTATTACCCTAACGCTAACTTACCCCAACCCACACGATACGTGCTAGGTTGGCGCTATAGTGGCTAAGTTCTAGGTTGATGTGAAGGTGGCAAAGTTGTACTAGGTGGATATGCCGGTGGCGAAGTTCTAGGTTGAAGTGCCCACGGTGGGCACTTCATGGGCCGCCCATGGGCATGCCCATACGTCACCCATGGGCAGTCCATGAAGATCCCATGGGCGGCCCATGAAGATCCCATGGGCGGCCCATGGGTGACCCATGGGTGACCCATGGGTGTCCCATGGGTAGCAAAACTGTCAGTATACATAGTGTGGGAGATTGGCCAAACCACTCAAAACCTCGTTCCGATGCATGCCCGGGTCTCCCACGTTTTGCTCATGGGCTGCCCATAGACAGCCCACGGGCCGCGCATGGGCACTTTGGTGCCCACGGGCGGCCCATGGGCCACCCATGGGCAAGCCCATGTGGGCAAGCAAGCCCATGGGCCCGTGGACACCCACGCGATACGTTCTACCGTATACTGTATACAATTACATTAGCTTGACGCTCTGCTAAGTTCTACAATAGGTTGATACAGCATGCATACCGGTGGCGAAGTTCTAGTCTTCAGGTTGAAGTACCCACGGTGGGCACTTCGTGGGCAGTTTATGGGCGTGGAAGTTCATGGGCAGCTCATGGGCAGTCCATGAAGGGCCCCCATGGTACCCCATAGGTGGTTTTTAACTGCGCCAGGAGTGTTGGAGATTGGCCGGTGCATAGATAGACAGCATAATGGATCAACTCTGTGTCATCCGGATTGATACTCGGTTTTGCACCGCAGGACAGATGAGAGATACTGTAAACAGGATTGGTCACGGGTTGCGGGCATGTCCGAACTCAGCCACTTCACGACTTACGATGATGATTTGATTTTGGTTTGATTGTGATTGGCCAAGGCCGACGCTCCAGCCAGCGCCCCGGAAATGAGAGAAGGCGTGTCACATACGAACGCCCCAGCTCTCCTGCCTCTGCCCCTTCCCCGCCGCCCAGGCGAGCGAGACCTCTGCCGGAAAAACTCACCTGGAGATCATACCTGCAACTACATAACAGAATAGTTGGTCTCGCATCGTTTGTATGGTGTGGCTTTCGCGGTTGTGGCATTCGCGGTTGTGGCGACAACGAAACAAGCTTTTGCACGCTGTATGCGTGTGGCAAGGCGTGTAATCAATGTCGAGCACAATCAATCGGGATCCCTTCCCACTGCTACACCTTCCTCTCCCTCCTTGATGGTGAGTGGCAGTCAGTCGTGTACAGTGGCGGCCGAAATTGTCGGGCTGCAGCAGAGTGAGGTACAGCAGTCTATGTAGTGCCTCACTGGTAGGTCTTTTTACGGTCGCAAGACCCACCCTACTTACGTATTATTTCGCCCAGTGTCTGACTTACGCGATGGAATAAAGCAAATTTCGCACATAGGAGGGGTCATCAACTACTACCGTCATGGATGTGGTTGTTTTTAAGGGATGGCGGAACACGAAATTTTCCACGCACAGAAAATTCGGCTTTCTTGCGAAATTTCTGAAATGTAAGAAAAAGAGCGAACGATCGTGCTGATTGGATGGTGCAGACAGTTCCATCCCTGGGTGCAAGTGCAAAGCTGCCTTCCCACTTGAGCCGTCTCTTGTCTATCACCCCTATCAATTGTCTACGAGGGGACATTTGATAGGGATTATAGACAACAACTGGCGGGAGCGTGGTAAACGGGGCACGAAAAGGAGGTTTTCAAGATATAGAGGGAAAGCGAGACCTTCTAAACCAAGCCCTAGGTTGCTCGGTGCCTCCTATCAACGGTGGGCTAAGTACTTCTTCCGCGCTTGCCCCTAGTACTGTAGCGCTTTCCACCCAAGGGTAGACAGACGCGGCGCAACTTCGCTGTTGAACCCGCGGCGTAATCGCCCCGCGATTCGACCTGTCCATTACCGTCATACTCCTCTACTCTACAAAGCATCCATACTAGACTAGAGTCGTCCCTGTGTACCCTGGCACCCCCCTGGTCGAGTAGTGCAAAGGAGGAGACAATCATGCCATTCTTCGCGAGGTAAAGCAGGTGAAGAAGATGGGGACAAAACGTGTCCCCAAAAGGCGATCCAGCCCTAAAGGGGTCAACCGATTTTGAAAACAAACGCAAGAGCACCAGAAAAACGCACAAGAGACACACAAAACCAGTCAGAATGCCATGCGAAAAACAGAAATCGTTGATTCTCGCACAGGGCGGCAGTAGAGGCATACCACATTTCACGCGTCTATCTCCACGCACCCCCTTTAAAATCAAGACACCATTCTATGCACTGTACATTCAAGTCATAAGAGCCAAAACGGCAGGCGCTCAAATAAGCTCTGCGTTGCCAGGAACCTGGTGCATAGTACTACATGTGTAGAGGACATCTTATAGCAGCGGGGGTTGCGTCTTCGCGCGCTCAAATCTGCTTCTGTGGTGGTGATATCGGGTCGTAGTACATACCTACGTACAATCTCCGCAAATCTCCGCAAATTAGCCCGACACCCAGTGTCTTCTACTGCTTGTGCTTGCCGCCACTGATGCCAATCTCCTGCTGGTGCGCGACTAGCTACTGCCGACAATCCTCCGTTCTGGGATTTACGGTCTTTGGCAGTGAGCACGGCTGTGACAAATGTTGGATGCCGCTTGGTTCCAGCGCAGATTTCGTACTGTTTTCAGAGGCTGCTGCGATCTTCAATATTTTAGCTCCATGTAGCAAACCTGAACGTGTCAGCACGCACGACGCCTCTTGATGGTGTCCTCTACTGACATTAGTACTAATTACCAGGTTCCTGAACCGGGAAGGTTGTTGATGTTGGATTAAAGTGTGAGAAAATAGCCAGCATCACTAACCGCTTTTCTGCCCCCACTTAACCTTCTACACTTCACTACTGAGTATGCGATGCGTGTGTGATTCACCGACATTTATTTTTGATTCTCAGCCGCAGCAGCTCTGTACCAGCAGCGGCCAAGGCGGCAGATGAAGAAGTAGAGGCGGCTATAGCTACAGCGGCGGCCTGGGAATCAGAAATCGACCCGCCGGTCGTGAAAAATAGGTGTTGGAGAGCTTGCGATACACCAACGACTCTATTGTACTGCATGGGTTTGATGCGGTTTGTGAAGCACTTTGTAGCTACAAACACCTGGGAGATTGCAGTGACAGTGCAGTTGCCTTGACAGCAGGTGCGCCCATGGCTGATCTGCCACCCGCGCATGGGAAGGGATTCAGGGCACCACGCACGGAATACCTCTAACCTCTATCCCTCGTGTGAATCGGGTCACGCCTGGTGTGCTTCTGTTTTGCAGGGCGCCAAGTCAGACATCTCCGAAGATGAAGAGGAGGAAAGCTGCACACTATGCGGCACCGAAGATAAAGGAGAAGAACGCTAGTGATCGCACAACAAGGTTGGCGTTTCCGAGGATGGATACACCGACCAGGAGAGGAAAGAGGAAGCAGGGGTAGGTGTCCCAAGGTGTTGGGTCTCGCGCGGTGCTGGTTGCTTGTGAAGAATATAGGCTGACGAGCTTCGCGTGAAATTCTCGACGATCCG